AAATCATTTACCTTCATTATAATGCACGTTTATTTATTATGATGCAATTTATATTTTACATTATTTTATGTAATAAAATTGTGATAATAACAAAGCGATATTGGTTGTTTATTTTCCCTATTATGAATGGAATTCTGTTATCCAATTTAGTATATAATAAAAATTTAAAAATTTATGACATCACTTAAGTTGTTTTTTAAATGCTTATAGTATTTTAACAATTAAACAAAAAGCTAAGCTCTAGCTTTATGTTGTGCTTAAATTATAATCATAGTACAACATGAAACAATAATCTTTTTTTAACATATAATATGCGAAGAGAGATATTATGTAACTTACGTCACACTCAAGTAGGTTCGCGAGGCCTGCATATTACAACCGTATATGTCGCAAGACTACAGAAGTACAGATATTATTTGTACAAGTACGAGGCTTGAATAAAATGGGCAAATCGTGGCTATTAACTTAGTTATAAAGGTTTTATTCCTGCTGGTCAACGTTTCACCGAAAACAAACGTATAATTGAATAGTGAATATGTGTTATTATTATTAATTTTTTTATATTTATCATATTATAAGAGATAAAATTATTTCATATTCATACATGTTATGGATATGAATATCATATCCTAACTACCCAGTAGGATATCCAGAAGGATATTGAATCAGTTACATCTCAACAACCTCAAACAACTAAGAGGATATGAGATAAGGATCACACCCAAACAGAAAGGGGGAATCCTGCTACAATTGGGGGATTTCAGAGGCACAATCCTATGAAGGTAATCCTATAAATAAGAGCTTAAGAACCCCAGGTAAAAACCCAGAACTCATTTATTATTTATGCCCACACTGTGCACACACCCACCCCTTGGCTATAAGCCTATTGCTTGTGCGCAGTGATTGGGACTTCGGCTATAAGCCTAGTATACAGATATACACTATCTCTGAGCGCATACCTTACGGTATAGCAATACGGTCTATCCAGGACTGAACAATACATAAAGATATATGAAACCCATATAAAATCATATAAAGAAAAGAAGAAAAAAATATGAATCACACAAATTTTTATGTATGTGAGGGATACAATTATTTCTTCCAGACATTAAACCTTTTAGATATATACTCAATTATTTAATAATCCTATTCAAGCACTTATGAATTCATTATAAGGGGAGATTATCCTAAAATTATTTTTTTTCATTCACAATCTAATTAAGGGAAATAAACCACTTATCATTTGAAATAATAGTTGTAGATCTGAATAGTGAATACGAAGCCAAATTTTTTTTTACATCCTAACCACTCCTTTATGGGATATATTTATTATCTGCAATGATCCCACTAACTTATTGACAGTAGATTGCAATTTATTTATTTGGTAAATTGAAGATTGCAAATTAGATGGAGAAATTTAATAGTATATTTAAAGGTTAATCAGTTAACGATTAAGCAAACATAAAGCATTGAATTAAGAAAGAAAACAATATGTGAATAGAAAGAGGCGAGAATTATTAGTTAAAGTAATAAACACTTTTTTCTTTTGATCTAAGCATGCCTTATAAATTATAATAATAATAATAGTTATTATTTTAATAAATAGATATGCATCGCCGAGTTACGTTTTGCTTCTATAGTCTGCTTCTGTTCTCTTTCGTTGGGCGGTCATAAATGCCAAAAAGGTCTAAATACAAGAAGATTGGGAAAGATCTAGAAATTGAAGATTACAGAAAGCAGTACTTAATAATAATCAGAATAGCTGCGATAACGATGAATATAAGCAATAAAGAAATGGAAATTGTTAGGTGGGATCGAAGAAAAAGCCACCTTACCCACTTCTCTAAGTTTCTCACTCCTTCCCTTCCTTCTTCTCGTCTCTTTTCCTTTCTTGGAAAAAGTAAAAAGAAAGAATACCAGGCTCACGCGTCCACAAAAAAACATATGACACTCTCTTTTTACATACCAGAAAAATATAAAAGTTCCTACGGGAAAAGAAAAGTATTGGAAGCTTCTTTGGTAGAAAAACACTTGTAGAAATTTTTTTGGGTAGGTTTGAATTCTGATTTTAAAAATAATTTTTTTTATTTTGAGATAAAAATAAATTTTTTTTTAATAAAACTTATTTTGTAAAAATAGTTCTAAAAAGTATAATTATTTTTTAGCTTTTAAAATCAAAATTAAAAACATATCTAAATTATTTTTGTTTTATATTTTGATTTTAAATTTTTAAAACAGAAAATTTCTATTTAATTACTATTCTATAAAATAATTTTAAGTAAAAAAAATACAACATAATCAAACACACCCTTTGTCCAGGGATGCTAAACGAACCAGGGCCCTTTGCCTCGGCTCGTGAAAGCCTGAGCTTACATGTCTAAAATTGGTTGTTGGCACCAAGCTTGAACTTGTATAAAACTCGTTTAGTAAAAAGACCACAGACTCCAATTCAAAAGCTCAGTCTTAGAGACTCTCTGGCTGACCTAATATATTATTTTTTATTTTTATTTTATATTTCTATACTACTTGTAACAGTCTTATCTTTCTCCTCAATCTATTTTACCCCATTTTATTGGTGAAACAGACTTTTTGAATGATTTTATTCTATATTATGATGTTTAGATATACATTAAATTTATGAATATTTAAGGAATTACTAGTGTTGTTGATTGTATATTTTGTTTAGATAAATTTTTGTTGTCTTATTTTTTTAAACAGCCTAACCATGCTTTTATTTTTTGTAAATAAGTCAGGCCACACGCAGACAATTATATTTATAACAGGTAACAGGCTTGGTCAAACTGACATATTTAAACACAGACTTAATCGTTTAAGACCAAAGCTCGACTCGACTCGGCCCGTTAACACCCCTACCTTTACCTTTATCACCAAACTTGCCCAAAACCAAAAGCGTGTGTAATTATTGGCCTCCCAACATTTTACCTTAGGTAATAGGTATTGGTTGGGATTTAAGTTTTTCCAACTATTATTTTGACAACATAGAAAAAAAATCAAAACAGTAAAGAAGTTTTTAATTAATCGTATGTTAGGTGTAACAAAATTCTCTTATATTTTATTTCTATCTTGCATTTTATTTTTAATAAAACAACAATCAAGCAAAAAAAAAAATCAACTAATGAAGAGATTGGAAGCGCTTTTTTTTTATTATTAATTGCCAACAAAAATTCTATAGAATTTTATTAATTGCAACGTACTGTAAACACACTATAAAATAAAATATTTGAATCTTATTAACCGTAACATACGTTAAGAATGGTACAAGAGCACAAAACCCATTGCAAGGGATACATTCATGGGCCCAGCGATAAACTACAATAAGTGGGCCGACATCACATCTCAACCCAAAACTTTAAGGCTGTAAGTTTATGGGTGTTTTGTACTTATATAGGTCTATATTTAATCGATGTGGTACTTTTTTATAACTCATACTTGAATACTTCCAACAATATATTCATTTTATATTGTATCCGTTAAGGATTTTCCTCGAATATTTTTTATTTTTATAAGGGTACTGATGATTAATAATTAATTATTAATATTTAATAAGGTGTCTTATTTATTTAAAATATAAATACTAAATATTTACTTTTATATTTTAAGTTATATTAAATATCGACCATTAATTATCCATGAATATCAAACTCTTGCAAAATAAAAAAGATACTGGCTATCAAAAAAAAAAAAAAAAAATACTAGAAGAAGTTATTGCGTTGAATGAGCGTTGCACTAGATAATTAATTAGGGGAATCATTTATAATTTTATATTTTATTTATAAAGTTATACTTACAACTTATTTTCATTTACAACTTCATATAATCATATCTTAATCATTGTTTTTTGTCGGTTATTATTTCGCAAATCAAACTCTTTAATAAATTATTAATTCGCAATAAATGAAAACCATTCATTAACAAAAATCAACAATTAAAATATAGTTATAAAAGATTATAAACAAAAATAGATGGTAAGTATAACATTTAACTTCTTTTATATTTGTAAATAAATAAATTATAGCAACAGTTTGAAAAAATAGATACAAAAGTGAGAAATTTTCTCGATAAAATTATAAAATATCTAGGGAGCATTGACTGTCAAAATGTGCTTATATTTTATTAATAAACTTTTTTAATATTATTGAAATGAATTATAATTATATAATAAAAATTAAGAAGTCTTTAGAAAATAAGTATAATTTATTAGAAAATAAGCAAAATTTTATTTTTATTATGTTTATATTTATTTTTTTTGGTAAATTATCTTCAAATGATTACTGAAATATTTATAATTTATCGCGTTATAATTTCCTTTAATTTTTTGAATAAATAACTAATAATGACAATTTAAAAATAAATATTTTTTTTCAAAGATATAAGGAAAATAACTAATATAACACACGCGGAAAAATACAAGAAAAATATATAGGGTTCGTTTTTTCTGCAGTTACTGCAGATAAGTTATCTGCAGTAAGTCCAATACGACGTCGTTTTGGACGGAAATCACGATGTTTTTGTAATTTTAATTTATTTTAAGGTTATAATAGTCTTTATATTTATAATTTTTTAAGATTTTAAAACCAAAACGACGTCGTTTTTAAAATAAATGCACATAACTTATATGCAGTAACTTAAGAAATATTTTTTCCAAATATATATAAGAAAAATCTGAGATTATAAAGTAGGTGCATGTTTGTTTTTAGATTAATGTAAGAGATGGGGTTTAGAGTGATTGTGATTAAATTCCGCAAGATTTTGTGTTTTGACAATTAACTTGGAAGCCAAAAGAAGCTATATTCACTCGAGTCAAGAGGTCAGGGGCCAACAATCTCACAAACTGTATTTTTTTTTTTTTTTTGGTGTCGTTTCGTCTCGTCGTGATAATAATTTTTTAAGATCGTGCCTCTCAAAATTTCTAGAACCCACGTCACTTAGGGGGTGGGGTTTGGTTTGTTTGGGTTTTCCCCTTTGCGTCTATTTATAAAAGAGTTCCCCGTGGAAAATTCGAGAATTTCACTCTATTGACAATTCCTCTTTTTCTTGTTTTTTGTTTTTTTTGCTCTGTGCTCTCTCTGGGAAGTTATGGTATTTGTCACCCAAATTCATTTCGTTCTGCTTTGGACCCATGGATTCTGATCGTCACAGAAACAGAAAGCCTTCTCATACCTTGTTTCACTCTCGCTTCTTCCTCTTTGGATTCTATTGCTGGGACTGGGAATTCTTAACCGCTCTCCTCCTTTTTAGTTCTTCTTCATAAACTTCTCAATCCCCCCTCCATAAATATACTTGATTTTCTATTTTCCCCTCTTTTTCTTTTTACAATTACATTAGATTTAAGTGAGAAAAAAGTGAATATTTTTTTTTTTGGTTGGATAAAAGAGTAAATTTGTGAGGTAGGTGAAGGGTAAATCGGGAAGAAATGTCGCAGCGGTCGGCACCGGCGCCGTTTTTGTCGAAGACGTATCAGTTGGTGGAGGATCCGACCACCGACGACGTGATTTCGTGGAGCGAAAGTGGCAACACTTTTGTGGTGTGGAAACATGCTGATTTCGCTAAGGATTTGCTTCCCAAGTACTTTAAGCACAACAACTTCTCAAGCTTTGTTCGCCAGCTCAACACCTATGTAAGTGTCTTGTTCCCCCCTCATCAATGTTTTTTTATTTAATTTTTTTATTTTTTATTTTAATGTTGAATTGAATCATTTCCGATTTCTCGTTAGGTAGACTTTTAGAACAAGGTTGTGTAATTGTGTTGTTTCCTCCTTGAATGTTAAATTGAATCTGTGTAAGTTGGTATAGTCATGACTCATGACACATATTCATGCTGTTATGAAACCAAAATTATGTTTTGTAGATGTGTAGCATTTTATGATAGTTGCATAACAGATTCATTTTAAATTTGATGTGAAAATTAATAACACTTGCTTGATTTTATTTTATTTTAATTGCAATTTAAGTGAGGGATTGGAATCTCATGTGGAATTTTCTGCCCAAGGTTCTTTTGACTTTATATGGAATAAAATTATATAGGATCGGTTGCTTTGAATTTGTCTCTTGTTTGTTGAAATATCCTTTTTGACCAATGTTTTTAAATACCTTTCACACCAAATTCTTGTTTCTTGGAAATTTACTCCACAATATAGTTCAAGGAATAATGTAAGATTGGAATGAGAGATTTATGTGTGGCATAAATCACGTGTTGCCTAGTGGTGTACATCTTTCGTGTTAGGTGGCCTAATTGGAAGAATTTCTTTTGGGGAAAAAAGGTTTTGATTTATTATTATTTTTGTTTTTTTAGTAAAGATTTTGGTTTATTTTTGGTTTAGTAATGAATTTATTTATTTTAAGTAAAGAATTTCTTTTTGTTGATTTGTAAACTTAAAGAAATGATAAAAAAAATTCCTATTGGAAACTGCATTTATAGCAAAATAAAAAAATTTAACTATATTGCTTTTACATTCACAAAAGTAATGTCTCAATACGCCGCACTGAATAACACTATTTAAAGAAATTCTAAATTTGAAAATTTCTAAATTTTCTAATTACTCAAAAAGGAAAGGAAAAAAATTAAAAATGAAGAAATTTTGAACATCAGATGCCTTTTTAGGATTTCTCTTTTCCTTTTTGACTGATTAAAAGATTATTAAGCTGATGTACTGAGAAAATGGATAAACAAGTTTCTTTAAATTAATTAAGTAGTAATTATTTATATTTTTTATTTAGAATGTATATTTTATGTTATTAAAATTTAAAAATATATATATGTTTATTTATTTTACTTTATAGAGACAACTCTATTTTAGCCACTTTAAATGACTCGTATGATTGAGTCAGGTTTTATAGCACATTTGAATTATTGCCTTTCGTTATATTATTAAAGAAACTTGTCTATTAACAACAGGACTTGTATTATTTATAAAAAATGGATAGATTTTTCATATTTCTATAAATTTGTTGCCAAAGATAAATGAAAAAAAATAAATAATAAATTTCTTGTTTATTATTAATCAGGGATTCAGAAAAATCGTTCCTGACAAATGGGAATTCGCCAACGAGTATTTCAAGCGAGGACAGAAGGAGCTTCTCGCCAAGATCAGTCGGCGGAAGACGGTGGTCCAATCGCCGGCAACCGGAAAATCCGGAGGCGGTGGCGGAAACTCCGCGTCGAACTCTGGCGGCGACGACATGGGGTCGACATCGACGGGATCTGTGGAGACAACGACACACTGCGGCGATTTATCGGGCGAGAACGATAAATTGAAGAAGGACAACGAGAAATTGAGCTGTGAGCTGGCGCGGGCGAAGCAGCAGTGCGAGGAGCTGGTAGCTTTTCTGAGGGACACTCTCAATGTGGGCCCTGATCAGATAAACCGCATCATTCGGCAAGGAACTTGTGGGTCCAGCAACGATGCTGTGCGTTTTGATGATAACAATAATGATAATGACGAAAATGTGTTAGGTGAATGTGAATGTGAAGGTGAAGGTGGAGAGAGTTTGAAACTGTTTGGGGTTTGGTTGAAGGCAGAGGAAGGGAAAGAAAAAATGAAGATTGATGCTGCCAATGGTAACTGCCGCAAGAGAGGGCGCGAAGACCCAATGGGTGCTGCTGCTAAGGAGTTGAAGACTGTTGTCTAGGACATATGACAAGGTTGTCCTACGTCATCATGAAAAATTGTTTGGCTTTTAATCCTTAGGTAATAGTTGTTAATTGATGGTGTTTTGTAGTTTGGTTTGCTGATGCTGTGGAACTGCAGGACTAAAGTAAACAATACTAATAAATAATGAAGCAGTTTATATTTACAAACTTTTACAAATTACATTATATTTTTTCGGAATACTCGTTACGTTATGTTCTCCCGAGAGAACATAGTGTAATTTGTAAAAAAATTCAAAAAAAGTTTGTAAATTGATCTTTCCCCGTAAATGATTAGCATGTGTAGTCTGTATGACATTCGTAAGTTTGAATTTAAATTAATCATGTGTTTTAAACTTTTAGGGTGCTTTTGTTTTTGCCAAAAAAAAATTTGGACAGGACAAGATTTCTGTTCAACGTTTGATTTTCAAAAGAATGATAGGACAACAAACTAAATTTTGCGGGACAGAATAAAAATATAAATATTTGTTCCTAACTAAATCAGTGGATAAATTTTAGGTAAAATGAATCTTATTTTAAAAGATGTAAAGTTGTGTCATTTTAAGAGAGAGAAAGAAATAGATAAGGAGGAAAGAGAGTTGATAAAAAAAATAAAGGTGTAAGTCTCATCTGAAAGGATATAAGTTGTGTCATTTAAAAGAATAAATATTTTTTCCATAAATTTTTGTATCACACCGTAATTTTTTTATTTTTATTTTTTTTGCCTCCCTCACCTAACTGTGAGAGAAACTTTCTCTCTAGAAAATTCATCTTTTACACGATTTTTGGGGCAATATGTAAGCAAATCTTCCCGCTTCCCTTTCTCATAATTCTTGAAGGCAAGTTCTCTTAGAGATGCACTCTCATATTGTTCCAAGAAAAGGATAACTATCTGATTTTGTACCAAACAAGTTCTCTAAACTTTTTCAATGCTTTTTTTGTTATGTTCTCTACCATCACTTTTTTTTTTTGCTGGAAAACACTCATGGTTGTCTTCTGGGATGGATCGATAAAATTTATGAAAACCGGAAGCAATGAGGAAATATTTTTGTTGGGTTGCAGATTGTGAGAGAGAACCTAAGGCAATTCTTAAAGGAAGGCAATTACTTTCGAGACTCCAAATTGATCCGCTCCCAAATTTGTTGATTTTGAATTCACTCACTTTGGGCCTGTTTGATTGTGTTCTGGTTTTTTTGTTCTTAAAACTGTTTTGTAAAATAGTTATGGAAACAATTGTTTTCTATACTTTTTTCTTTTTGAAAGTTAAAAACCAAAACAGAAAACAAAAATAACTCAGACATGTTCTCTAAATTTAATTTTAAAAACAAAAAAAAAAGTTATAGTTTTCAAAACATTTTTTATAAAACAGGTCTTACCAAACGAGTTTTTTAGTTTTTTTGTTCTGAAAATTAAAAAACTGTTTTGCAAAACAGAAATCAATCAGAGACTTTGTTTTTCGTTGTTTTGTTCTGATTTTTTATGGTAGATATTGGAGTTGATGGACCTCAGAACGCCAAGCTATTTCAATGTATTTATATGGAGATGCTATTTCACAATAATGAATTGTATATTCGCATGCAATATGTTGAGTTTTGTTGTTTCACTAAAGTCCAATAGGGCCTAGTGTGTAAGAAGAGTCCAAGAAACCTAAAGTTCATTCTGCTTAGGACTAGGGTTTCTTGGACCCATATATATTCTATACTAATAGTCATCAGCCTCTCTAGTTTTCACTTGGTGATTATGGAGGATGAGGTAAGGTCATCTCCCTGAAAGTGAGAGAGTGTCCACACAATTTCCATTTTCCCTTGAGACGTAGTCTGGAAGATCTGTCACAGTCCAGCTTCAAGGAGGCTGTTCGTACGGCGACGCTGAGGAGATCAGTTCGTGAATTCGTGCTGTGACGCAAAGGACTCTAATTTGTGGAGCATCATCTTATATATGTGCTACAAGAGGTAATTATAAACAATGATGATCCTATACATCCAAATCGCAATGGTCTAAACGTTTCTGCATGATCTAATTGCCCTTACAATTAGTATCACAGCCAGATTGTGAGTTTGGATGTTGATCTAGTTTTGATTTACAATTTCATGCAATTAGTTTTTCATCATGAAATATGGTACTTAGGATTTCTATGTTTATTGGTATGAATTTTCAATGAGTATCCTTATAATTCTTTTCATTAAAATTCAATTCTTTGTTTGGTTTTAACTTTAATTCATGGTAGAAATTTCTTTGTATTTTCTTGGGTTGTAACAAGGAGGCTAATCCCATATGATTAGATTTTCTCCTTGATTTTATTTCAATTTTTGCATATTATTTTTATGTATTTCAAAAATTGTAAGGAAATAAGATCAAGAAGATATAAAAAGAAGTACGTTCGTCATTGTTTGGACGTGTTCGTGACTTTCCGGTGGTCAATATGAGAAACAAACCACATGAAGTGAAGGAGCACAGAAACCTGAGCAAGAAGGCAACTGGTTCTGGCCAAGAGAAGGCCGGACGCGCCCTCACGTGCCACCGGAAGTGGCTATGCGTGGGCGCCACTCGCCGGCAAGGATTGGGCGTGTGTGGTCGCGTGACAGCTTTGATCAGGCTAGTTCCAGTGGCGGCGACTTCGTCTCTTGAAGGTGGTCTTTTTCCTAGAGTTTCGTGCTGAGATGAGTTCGGGTGGCGACGCAATGGACGTGACGGCTAGAGTTCCTGAAAGTTGACTTAGGGTTTCTTGTCAAAATTTGGTACTTTGGGCCTTTGGCCATGGTTACCATAAAGGGGCTTGAAACAGAACCTATGGACCATAAGGAAGGAGCAAATGAGCTGCAATGTTTATTTTTTGTTTATTTTGTAATTTTATTTTTTTTAGGAAACCATGGATTAAAGTTTTTAATAATTAATTGCTTTATTTTTTATGAATGGTTGAAAAATATGATTGATAACACGCTTGATGTGATAACATGCGATATTGAATAAGTGGTGTTATATTATTGCATAACTTGTTAATTACATAAGCATTATGACTGTTATGTTTGTACGACTATATTCATAGTCATTATGGTAATTAGTTAATATTTCAAAATTTAAATGTAATATTTATTACATTTGATAGGCTGAATTAATAGTCATTATGACATTAATTCTAATTTTTGAAATATGTGCATAACGAATTTAATAATTCACTGATCGTTAAGAAAATTATTTTGATTTCAAATTATCCTCATAAATAATAGTTATTATGATTCCAGAAATCTAGAATAATAATTAAATTAGTTATTTGGATGATTTAAATCTAGAAAAATAATTAAGAAAATTTCCTAAAAGAATAATTTATTTTGCGAGAAATTTGTGGTCTTCTAAAATGGTCATGTGTTAAACACACACTGCATACCACAATCATGTATCATGATTGTGTGAAACACATGCTGTCTATCATGACCGAATTTTAGGACCTTAATGATTTCAAAATTCAGATAAGCTAAGTGATGCACGTTCATCGGCGCTCTTACTTACATAGTTTTTGAAATCAAACAAAGGTTACTCTTATTTAAACAATTCTTGAAAATTGGAAAAATTGCTTATTTGAATGGGAGGAGATTTAAATTAAAAAATTAAGGGTTTAATAAGAGTTATGTTGTAGGAAAAATGATTGTGTTATGTTATAGAGATTCGTTTTGCGTGCCAGAGTTTTTTTTTTTTTGGTTTCAAAAATTGTGGGTCCCACAAAATGTTATGTGTGTAGGAAAGTTGTTGTGGTCATGTTAAATTATAGATACAAAACCCAAAAATTAATTTAACCTTCAAGCGCATTATAGGACCATTAATAAAATAATCGTGTGAAGCTCAATCGGATAAGCATGATTGGATTTTATTGGACCTATAAAATCATGGAAGAAGATTTAAATTAAGAAATTAATTTAATTTTCATGCGCATTGTGGGTCCATTAATAAAATGGTCATGTGAAACCTCAACGGATAAGCTTAACTGGATTTTATTTTATTGGACCTTAATAATTTCAAAATTTAAAAAAAATATTGTACGACCCAACGTCGACAATACTAAGTTATTAAAGATAATTTTGAAATTAAACAATGGATTCGACAGAGGTTATGAAAATTCTCATATAAAAATATTGAATGGGTGAAGATTTTAAATTAAGTATTTAATTTTAAAATCCGCGGGCTCCATTTGTGGGTCCATTACTAAAATGGTCATGTGAAGCCCAGACAGATAAGCATGAACGAATTTTATTTTATTGGACCTTAACAATTTTAAAATTTTAGTAAGATATTGTACGGATCGTGGTCGACAAAATTTGGATACTAAAGATAATTTTGAAATTAAACAATGGCTAATTACATTCAAAAATGGTAAAGTTATTAACCCTTCCGACGAGGCTTTGATAATGGCACCGAAGGCCCAAATAACAATTTTAGTTTTACAAGTAACTTGTTTGACGTAAACCTTGTAAAGATAAACTGAAGGAAAGCTAACATTAAACCAGAGTAGTTATGATAATCTACTTGCACTTCATTTGTTTATTGCATTATTTGTTTGTAATTGTATGCTTTATATGTTTTTTAAGAAATATCTTAGAAATGATTTTGAGTCAAAAACCTCTAGATGGTACCGACTATAAATAAGTGGAAAATTAATTTTGATATTGTTCTAAAACATGAAAGCTAAAATTTGTCCTCACAATACCAGGGGGCATAACAACTACAGAGAATGCGTCTTAGAAAACAAAGGCGCAATACTCAAATTGGAAAAGGACAAATATGGTAGTTTGCTATTATATTCTTGTTAGTCTTTCCAAACACTCGCATAAGCAAGTATACATGGTTAAGAGTAAAGTAGAGATGCTTCAGACTCTTAATGACATGTTTGCCGTGTCTAGCAGATCTGCTAGATAGAATGCAGTCAGCGCAGGTTTTACTAAAAGTCTTGTTAAATCCAAGGGTAGTAACAAAAACAAAATAACTTGGTTATCTATTGTCAAACTAGTTGCTATGAGCCACAAGGCAAGTGCTTCAAGTGCAGACTGAAGGAACACTGAAAGAAAAATTGTCCAAAGGTGATGAAAAGAACCAGACATGAGTATATTAAGGCTTGATCAGTGAATGAATCATTCATTCATGAATATCTGATTATGTTTGTTACTCTTTGCAGTAGTTCAAA